TGGAAACAGGAGAGGACTGGAAGATTAGGAGAGGCTAAGGTCCATCCAGGTGTACAGCCCAACCTGTGACAGTCATGGGAAGTACCTGGCAGGGAAGCTTGGGTAGATTTAAACAGAAGGCAGATGAAAAATTCAAGGACTTCTCTTTGGAAAACCTTAGAGAAAGTGACCTCAAGGGAGTATTTAAAGATTGGGCGGTGCAGTGCCATAGATACCTTCCAGAAAATTCTATTGGTCCCAGCATTTTTAGATACATGAAGATAGACCAGGTGGCTTTGCCTGGTACCCCAGACAGTATCTCTGTAGATGTGGAGTGTGCTGATGAGCAGCAAATCAGAGCTTTCTCCCTAGAATCTTACACCTGGTACAAATTTTCAGTCAAAACACAAATGCTTCTTAAATTTTTATTTTTGTTCTTTAGAAGATGGGCAAAGAGTTTGGTTATGACAAAAGGACTCTACAGATTTTCGGATATGGGGAGGTAGCAGAGGCAGTACCCTGGAGGGGGTCCTAGTGCATTTGTTTGTGCATGGGGACTGGGAGTAGTTGAGAATGTAACGTTCCTTGTGCGGTAGACACATCTTAGAGCACAGAGTTTGTGCGATGGGAAAGCACTCTGTGCTGGTTGGAAGACAGACCTTCTGGTTACAAGGTGCCTGTGAGACGTTGAAACACTCCCTATTGGGCTGTAGGACAATCCGTGTGGTACATGGCTGTTGTGTGATAGGAACACAGTCTCTATCAGAGCAAAGGCAGCTGGGATTCACGACAGTGGTGCTGGCACATTGTCCCTTGAGGAAGGAGAAAATCAGAAGGTCACAGAGATGTCATTGGAAGGCTGAAGCTGCCTGACTTCAGGTGGAGGAGTTAGGACACATCAGGACTCAACTGTCTATGCTGGTCTAGTTGATGCTTCTTTGAATCAAGTAAAATAATAATCAACATGAAGTTACTTGTGTCAAGTCCTAATTTAAATATAAATTAAAATTGCGGAAGCTGAGTATTTATGAAGGAGAGAATTTCACCCATATAGAAAACTATCACAAAACACTGCTAGGACCCCATTGCCCAAACTTTTCACATCACACATCAATGACTGTATACACACACACACACACACACACACACACACACACACAGCATCTCCATAGCTACCTGTAGTCCAGATACCTACAAATGCATTGCCTTTCAAATCCCTTGCACAAAATCTGTCTACAAGGCCTTTTACTCATTAATGATGGGCTCAAAGGTATGCACTGGTGCTGTTGCCACCTCTTCTGGACCCTTTAGTACTCTTCTATGATTCCTTGTGGCCAAAGGTTATTGTCTCCAAAGTAACTTGTGTATCTTCTAAATTTCTTTAAAGTTTCCCTGTATTCTTATAACATGCACACCACACACTCTAGAATGTGCGATCCTCTTTGCAATGTCTCAGTGCTCACAAATCATTATTTTCAGAGAATTTCTTTGATTGGTGATTAGGTTGGTATCAGAAAAGTCCCTTTCTCCTTGACTGTTTCAAATATGTTCTCTTAAAGAATGGGGCATCAGCCTTGGGGCCATGAATGGTTTTCTACAAATGATTTCAGTTTTAAAACATGTCTGCAAAGCCCCAACGGACCTCACAATGTTTCTGGTGAATTCCCTCTTGGATTTACATGTCTAAATATTATGCTTCTTTTGCATAGTTAAGATGCTATAGAAATTTCTATTTCCATGTCGCTTAGTTTACATGTGACTGTAAATGGTGGGGCTCTTTCATATCTTGCTTATTTGTGAACTTCAAAACAAAAAAGAACATTCTGAACATTAGCATTAGTCATGTTAAATCCCCCGAGATATGAATATTCATAATCACTTTACATATATCACACTTTATAGTATAAGGAGTACTGTACAAATGTTTCCATTGATCACCCCGACACCATACCTGGCACAGAGCCTAGATAGAGAAGGCACACTTCACATCGTGGCTATACGACTCAACAACCTCACCATGCTGAGCCCCAATCTGAATGCCAGCATCTCAGTTTCCACAGCTATGACCCAGCAAGACAGAAAAGGGGGCGCACACACACAATAGAAGGTCTGGTGCCAGGCTGCAGGGTGCTGTTCTGGTTGACTACTGAGCATGACTGCTGAAAGCTGTTTTGACTTTGCAGGGTCTCTCGTTTCCATCAAATAATAGAGCTAGTGGTCTATGGGGTATCCGTAGACCATTTCTATCTGAATGGAAGTTATAGTTTCTCTGAGGCAGCTGTGAGAAAGAAATGATGTACAGGTTTCAAGCAGGTCCTGTGAGGGTTTGTACAGGAAGATGAGTGGGTTTGGGGGATATCCATCATTATTGTAGACATTTTGTTCATCTTAACAGGCACAGAGATACAGCATGGAGCAAAGAGAGCCCAGACCTCAGCGGGTTTGACTCAAGATTCACAAACTGGACTGGATTTTGTGTGTATTTATGAAGGAGATGATGCCCAAAAGACATTCTTTTTCCTTCGGGAAGTCAAAGTCCATGGGGCAGACATTAATGTTGTGAAAGTTCAAAGGAAATAAAACCACTTACTTCTGCTAAAAAATTACCCAGATTTTCGGTAAACTGAAAAATCTAAATAATAATTTCTTGGGTTAGGATCAGTTGAGATACAAAAGCATATGAAGTCCTGGAACAAACAAGCAGCTAGATGAGGTTCCAGGAAGCAGTCCTCACCAAGTTCAAGTTCAGGCCTTCTCACTCTGGTTTACTAACATCTGAGACTCCTTCAAGTCCTCATGCCTGCATGCCCCTCCCACCCAGGATCAGGAGCTTAGGAACAGCCATCCCACTGGGTCACACAGACAGGGAGGCACAGCCAGTTCCAATAGGATCCTATCCCTGTGCTTTTGTCCTACCAAAGAGAGGGCCTGGGTGTGGCTTTGCCTGAAGGGGCCTCCTGGAAGGGGGGCATGGAACACTCAAGGGGCCTGTCATGGGAGCTGGTGAGAGCAGAGCAGGGCCTCCATCTGCTGCCCCCCCCCCAGCTGCTGCTAGACTGCAGTCATCCCCACCCCAGGAGGTTATTGGGTGGGATCCCACTTAGACACTTCCTCCTTGCTCAGACAGAAGACCAGCCTGGTGTAGAATCCCAGAATGCCTACATGCAGAACCTGCTGAACTTGTCAAGTGAGCTGGGCTAGTGTTTAGTTTTACATATACAGGCCTAGTGCTTCAGACTGTCCTGCAGGAGGCTTTAGGTTCCAGCTGAAATCCTGCTGAATCCCTGCCCTGCACAGATCCCTGCTGACACCTTTTTCTGTCCCAGCAGAGAGTGTAGCAGTGGACATCTTACTTTGTGCCTTGAGGGGAGCTGCAGGTACTACCTGATAGTCACTTAACTTTGTACCTTGCAGGGGACTTCAGTCCCCACTAGACACAGTAAACCCTGCAGGGAGAAGTCTCTGTTGAAGCAAACACTTTTCAGTGCAAGGCTCCCAAGAAACTGTGGAACCAGAATATTGACAGTTTGAAACATAAAAGCAGCAGTCATTCTCTGTCTCTGAGTTTCCCTGTCTGGCTCACCTGGACCTTGGAATGACAGCACATCAACGGCATCTGGTGGCAGCTTGGGTAAAAGTAGCTGCAGCAGGTATCTAGGTTTCCCTGAAAAGCACACATGACATGAACAAACAGGAATGCATGAAAGCTGCCCCTCCAACCCTAACACTGGGGCCCTCATTGCCTACAAGTCAGTCAACATGGACACAAGAAGTCCAAACACATCATATCCTAAGAGGGATTAATCTAAAAACATGGTTTCTGGAGTGGTCACTGTGGAACACACAGAATTTAGAAAAATCTGGGACACAAGGCTTTTGGAGAAGTTCAGATGCTTGAGGGGTGTGTGGTGGCAAGCAGAGGCCTCCTGGGGAGTTATGAGTTTTGTGAAGGCTCTGGGTAAAAGGTAGAGCTTGGGTCACATAAGTCATGCAGGTAAGAGATCCATATCTCAATCATGGTCAGTTGCCATGGGCCCAGGTAGTGTAAAGGAAGGTGGGGAGGCTCACAGATTCCTAGATCTAATCAGGGAGATCCTAATGGTCTCATCCTGGCAACCTAAGAGCCCTTGGGCCCTATGGAATGGGGTGGGAGATGAGCCACAGAGATCAGGGCACTGGCGGTGGCCATTTTGCTCCTAGGAGACCTGTGTTGGTTTCTGTGTAGCTCACAGGCAGGGAACTGGCAGGAATGGCTCTCAGATGGGCTCGGCAATTGCAGAAGACTTAGAAGCTCCCAAGAGGCAGCATGGGCCCTCCACAGACAGGGTAGGGCATGGTGGGAGACCTGTGGGCTCTTTCTTCCTTTCCTGTAGGGTCTCCATATTGGGCCCTGGGGTTGCTGTCAGTCTTTCCCCTTTTTTGGGGTTACCTGGGCCTCCTGGGTAGAGGGGCTTCAGATGGATGGCTGTTTGCCTCCTGGAGCTCAGCTCCCCAGAACAATCTTGTGATGCCCCTCAAGGCATATATCTTGTAACCCATTTTCCACTTCAGTGGGCACCAGAGCAGCTCTTCTACTGCATATGAAGAGCCTTAGTACTGGCTGGCCAGGGCCACTGGCATTTATTTGACCAGTTTTCCTGGTGGACTGAAGGTAACTCATGACTGATCTTTTCTTTATATATTGTATCTGAACTTGCTAGATAGACCCAATATATCTTGGCTTATTCATCTACAGAATAAGGGTGACAGCAAAGACCTTGTTAGGGCTGAGGCAATGATATGGGAACCAGAGTCTGGTACGTCAGGCCACAGTGGCCGTGTCCAGGGACTTGGAATCTACACAAAGAGAGATGACAGCTCTCAGAGAACCTTCCTTTGTGCTGCTCCCCTCTAGCCATGGGAGAGAGACAGGGATCCAGGTGCCTGCAGACACAGAGGGATGCAAGTCCTGTATCTCCCCCCATACTCAGGTCTCAGTAGTGGTGATTGACTTTGCCCTCCCTCTCAAGCTCAGCCAAAGGTCACACCCTGCCCAACCCAGTCATCTGTACCCCTCTGTTTCCACAGCCACAGCAAGCAACGATCACAGTAGGGTTTGGGTTAATAGGTGATGGAGATGGAGGAGATGGAGCAGGTGGTGATGTAGGAGGGGGTAGGTTCTCCCCTGGATCCTGCAAGTGAAAAGAGATGAGCTGTGTCTTGCCTGCAGTTGGGCACAGAATCTCTTACATACAACTGCACTAGGGGGTGGTCAGTCAGCTAATGCTGTGGAGTGAATGGAAGGCTGTAATGCACACCCTGGGGAGGCCATCCATGAGAAGAGTAACCAAAGCCCTCTGGTTTGCAGATATTGAGCTTCCCACAATGCCAATAGCTGTGTACTTGGTTCTGCTAAGGTTACCCTTGTTTGGGAGAGACCTAGCCACCAGTCTGTGCAGAGGGTATGCAGTGGCATTCTCCTCCACCAGGACATGGCCATTACAGGACAGGCGCCCAGGCTCCCACTAACCAGAACTGTCCCAAAAGGAAAGCTGTTGCCACCCCAGCACAGGCCCAGGTCCAGGATCTGTGTATTGCAGCTTTTCTTTACCTCTTCTGGTCCCTACCCTGAGGAAGGCTCAGTGGTTTCTGCATCCTGGTTCCTGTGCTTGGCTGGGGACATCCCTCATAGCTGATAGTTTCAATATCCTCTCTTTTCCCCAGCCCTGGGATTCCTAGGCTGACCACAGTGAAACCCTTAGCCATACCAGCCAGTGATGGAGATAGCTGTACAGAATCCCAATGGCTATGAACCTAGATATGGAGACTTGGCTCTGACTTATGCAGCTCCTATACTAAGAACCCATTTGCATCCTTGGCCTTCTACAGAGAGCCCTATGAGATCCTTTGCAAAACTCAAATTCAGCAATGGACAGCTGCACTCTCTGGATCAGGTCTCCAAAGCCCTGATTACTTGGAAATGCTGGGAGTCTGGTGATGGTATTTTCTAGTTGACGTAAGTTTGAGCCCCGCGGCTTTCTGTTACAATCATTGATCTGCATTCCCCCCTGTTCACTGCTAAAGTAATGAGGGATTCTGAGGTCAGGCTTCATGATATCCCTTAAGAAAGGTCAGTGTGACAGTGTCACCCTCTTCCCCATCCAACTCACCTTCTCTGGCTGTGGTGGAGGTGGCGGTGGTGGTGGCTCCTTAGGCTGGAATGTGAAACAGACAAAAGTGGGCTAGAGAGGGAGGGTGGGCGCTGCCTTGGTCCTGCCAATAGAGGGGACCTTGGCTTGGAGCAGGAAGATAACATGGCCTGTGTGGGTGCTTGTTGCCTGCTGGGGTGCTGTGTCCAGAGTGCTCTAACTGCCAGAGGCATCCCCATCCCTTTCCAATGAGGGAGAGGCTATCTGGTCCTACCTTTGGTCCCTGGAGAGGCCCACAGCTGGAGTGCCTCACATGTGTCTGAGCCCAGCTGCAGTAGAGCCCACACTCACCCTTCCTATTGGTAGAAGCTCACTGTCACTCAGCCTCCCCATTCCTCCTGCAGCCTCCTCACCCTCTAATTTAGTCCCTGGATTTCACTGCTCACTGCAGCTCCAGGAAGAGATGGGCCCTGAGAGCTATGTACTAAATGCCACCTGCCCCCACCTCCCAGGCCTGTGCTTCCAATTCCTCCAGCTCTCTTTCTTCCATCCTAGCTCTTCTTCTTCTTCACCCTGTCCCAGATGCCAGTACCATCCCTACATCCTGCTGTGCTTTGGCCAAGCCCTGGTGACATCTCTGGATGTGTGTGTTATACCAAAAGCCTGAATGGTAACTGCATTTCCTGGTGGGGCAGGGTGGTTCTGCTTTCTCTTTGTGCCTCTGCAGCCCAGTAAGGGGTTGTATGACATACTGTGGTCAGGAAAGGATTGGTGTCAAAGGTATCTCTGACCTAGTGCTTCCTAATCATGCCTCAAAGCCATCACCCTGCATATGGGGCCACTGGACTTCATAAGGGATCCTGCCCTGAAGGAAAGGGGCACCTCTGGGGTTTGGCCACATGAGGCCTATAGATGTGTAGTGGATACAAGATGGCCCCGACCTAAGGGTGCTGGGATGGCCACTGTGCAGGGCTTTGTTTTCAGTCCAAGCATTGCAGACAGATTTCCTGTTTCAGCTATGATGAACAATTCTTGGAACCCAGGGCTTGGATGTTTATACTTGAGAATTTATGTATCTCCTGGATGCTGTTAGTCCCTGGGTCAGATGTGAAATTTGCACCAGACTGGATATAGGACTGCCTTATGACACTATTCCTTGGAGAGGGGACATGTGTGTGGGAGTCAGGGCGGGGAGGGGAAGAGAGAGGGAGGAGGGGGAAGGAGACTTAACCTTCTTGCAGCATAGCCTGCAACAGCAGATCAGCAACATGATGACAACCAGCAAGACGGGCAGAAAAAGAAGCCAGTTCCAGTTAAAGATAAAGCCACCTCCTGCTGATGTGTTTGGTGTATTGATGGGTTTTCCTTGTGTTGTAGCAACTGGAACTGGGTCTGGAAGTTTTGCTTCTGGCTTGCTGGCTATGGCGCTGCTGCTGCTGCTGCTTTTGCTGATGTCACGGCTGCTGCTGCTGCTGCTGCTGCTACTTTTACCGATGTCATGGCTCCTGCTATTAAGTGCTCCCTGTGACAAAAAACAAGAGTGGCTTCTTCCCCTGGACTCACACCTTGCTTCCCATTTGTATACACACTCTCTTCATTCATCAGGATTGGCTAGACACAAGGGCTACAGTGGAGTTAGTGACCCAGATTGGTCTTCAGAGAGAGCAGCCAACATTGCCTCGAAGAGGATGACTCACGATTTCCCATGGCCTGAGATCAGTTCTCACCATGGCCTTGATTGATAGCGCACTAGAATGAAGGTGATCAGATCTCTAGGAGAGGTTCAGGCTGCTGGGTCTCTACAGAGGTGTAGGGATAGGGGATGTGGCCTATCACTTTGTCCCTGCTCTGCCTGACAAAGTTTGCCCCTCCTCCCTCTGAATCCTGCTAACAACTCCAGACTTGTCACAAATGGGCCCAAAGCTTCTTCTCCTTGGATTCTCCCCCTCCCCCTTCTAGTCACACTGCATTGATCTCAGGTGCTTGGAGGACAGATGTGGAAATGGACAGATGTGGAGCACTTGAGGAGTAGCACTTTCTTTCTCAGGGGCCCTGTTGTGCTGAGTGTTCCACATGCCAGACGGCTTCCCCACCACAGCTGGAGAGGAGAGGGGACCTGAGGACTGTTAGGTTTGGGGACAAGGTGGGCAGAGGGTGGGGACTGAGGATGCATAGATTTAAGTCCATATCAGCTGCTGGGTATATGATGCTCTGGTACAAATTCTGGATTCCTGGGCATGCATATGGAGCTGTCTTGTGTCCCACATGTCCTAGACAGTGTCGGGCAGCCTCATACCTGTCCAAGATGACTCTTCTATAAGTTGCTACAGCCTACCTACGGTACTTGTGGTCACCTCAAGGCCTCTTGTGACCATCTTTCTCCTCTAGGTGGATCTGCATCAACTCTGGGTTCTTACCTTGGTACTCCCACAGTTGGTTCCGGTGATGACGAGTCTGTTGCCAATGAAGGAGATGCCGTTGTTCAGACTGACCTCAAGAGACACTTCCCTAATGCATGGAAGAGAGACTACATGATGGAATTGCCCCAGAGACTCAGTTTGTTGAAAGTGTCACACACATCAGTCCTCAGTGTAATGATGCTGAAATTCAGCACAGGCCTCCCTGACAGTGAACAGGTGGGTAGAGGAACTCTACTACCCAAAGCATAAAGACTCAAGCACTGCAGGGATGTGAAGGCTGCAGATTAGGCCAGAAGGGGTTTCATGTCATATGACCACAATGAGCAGGAGCTAAGGAATCAGGCAGATATTCAAAGGCCGGTTTGAATCCTCAAACCCATCATCTTCTCCATCCTGCCCTCATCAGTGCCTGAGCACTGTGTATTCCTAAGAACCTCCAGGGTTACTAACAGAGTCTCATAGAAAGGAAATGGAACCCATATAATGCAGACAGGTGCTTAGAGCAGAGGACACACCCCAGTTTCGCTAAAGCTGGGAAACACAAATCTTGGAATTCCTAAAGAAGGACTTTAGCAAGGGACACTTACTCGCCAGTATGCTGTATCTTCGGTCCGGGACAATTCATGGTGTTATCAGTAATATCTGTAGGGCTTTCATCTAAAAGAAATTGGCATAAGACTATCAATAGGGAGCCCTTCCTCCACTGTCACTCTCTGTCTGAGAGCTGACACTGGCTGATGCCTGCTTACTCCCTCTGCCTCTTTTTGTTCAAGGGCAAGTGTGGAGTTCCAACTCTGCCCCCTCCTGAACAGCACTCTGTTACCTAGCAAGCATATCCTGTACCCAAGGATCACTTGTTGGTGATTGAGGGAGAGAGTGAGAAAGACAGAGAGGGAGAGGAAGGGAGAGAGGGAAGACACACAGGACAATATAAAAGAGTGCAGTGTGCTGTGACATGGGAAGTAGAGGGGTGGGGCATCCTGGGGAGAGGTCAGATGCTCAGTTACTGGTGATGAGTCCCTTCTTTTAGAGATATAATTTCTTATTTAAAGAATAAGTGTTTATACATGAAATGCTTGGAATTTAGCTAAAGATACACAGTGGTGAGACTGTCGGGGAGCTACACGGTGTGGATTGGGAACTCCTGGGCAGTGGCTATGGGTGCTTCAAGCCCATGTACTTTTTGGTACATTTGTGTTTGGTAGACCATGTGCACTGAAACTGATTTCGTGTGAAGTGCTGATGTCTGAGATGGGAGCAGCCAGGAAATGACCTTAGGGTTGGAGGCTCAGGGATAGGTGAGAGGCAAATGGTAAGGCACCTACTAGGTTGCTGAACGTAGTGAGTGAGAAAGTGTGGGCTCTTGGAAGAAATTTGGGTGGTACTTCTAGTGCAATGGATGTGTCAGAAGCCATGGAGGCTGCAGATAAAGGCAGCATGAAGCCCTGGTGGCCTGGGTACAGGGATAGGAGAAGAGGAGCAAGAATGGCAACCAGGAGTCGTGACGTTTGCTGAGCTGGAGAAGGCTCATAAGGGAATAAACATTTTTCTTTTCCTCCTTTGGGAGTCTGAGAGGAATTCTGAAACTGTGGCTGAAGCCGCTAATCCTCAACACACATTCTATTCCCAGTCCCCTGAGCTGGGGCAAAAAGCCAAGAGCTGAGCTGTACCCCCACTGGCTAGCCTTCCAGTTTCCCAGTCCTTTGTTTCCCCTGTGTGCTGTAATGAATGACTTTCCAGAAAGACCTGCTGGACATCTTTCCTGCTCAATCAGGAGGCTCTGCCTGTTGCATCTGTGGAGGCCATCTTGTGGGATTAGACTTCCATGAAGGGGAACAACAAAAGGCTAAATGGATGCTGTAGTGAGGATGGGCCAGTGTCATGCCAGGCTCCAGATGCCTTTGGGAGCTGGGGTTTATTCTTTCACTGTGTGTGAAGAGAGATGGGAATAGGCATGGTGCTTGGTCCTCCTTCCATTGGTCCATACTACCTATAGCTTCCCCATTGTGCGTGGTCTGCAAAGCAGAAGGCATGGCTGACTTTGAGAAATGCTTGTGAATGGCAATGTGTACCTCATGGGTACTGGGATACCAATGCACTACTTACCAACAACCCTGGAGTCACTGAACGTGAACCTGCAAATAACTTGGCTCAGGTCATTTGTATTTTTAAATCCTCGTCCATTGATTGTCACTTGGTAGGGATCTGCAAGGAGAACATTAAATTGTTGGAGCAGGAGACTTGGGTGCCATGTTCTCTCTGTTCTCACCTTTCATGAAGGGCTACCTTGAAGATGGAATTCTCAGGCCCTTATCATACAGCGACATTGTGTGGACCATCATCTATGGTCACTTAGTATCCATGCTAATGTAGCTGGGAAGGATCTTGAGAAGTTAGGAGTCCTACTGTAATCAGTGATGCAACAAGTCCAAAGTCATGAGAGTCCATCCCTGTTCTGAGCTATGCCAGCTCAGCCGAAATCTTCCTGCTTGGAGACCTCACATACTCCCGAATCCACATGGGCACTGTAGGAGAGGCAGGGCCCTATCTGCACAGGGTTAGGGATCAGCATCCACCGTGATGACTGTGATACTGAGCATGAAGTCTATCCATTCTTTTGTTTCTCTGGTGTGCTAATAAAGACACCAAGACCAAGGACATAAGGGATAGGTCTGGTCCCTGAACCACCCAAGAAAATACCTAAGAGGATTTGGCTCCTTAGACATAGGTCAAGTCCCTGATGCACACGAGAGAGTCCCTCACAGGAGATGCCCTGTCTCAGACACAGTTCTAGTACCTGACCCACTAAAGGGAGTTCTTCACAGGAGGTGACCCCCATAGATATAGTTCTGGAGTCAATGCAGCTTTCTTCATCCTCATTCACCTTGCCCATCGCTCTGGGGTTTAGCAGGGTCTTTCTAACACCTGCGAACACCTCCCTGACACTGACACAAAATGAAAAGGGCAGAGTGAGGATGGCTGGGTGGGTGAGACCATAGGCAGGATTCTACCTTTTCCTCATTTGCCTGCATAGCTGCCTCGGGGCTGAGAGCCAGCTCTATCCTCCCTTCTGTGTTATCTTGACACCTCAGCATCGTATACCAAGGATCCTCATTTACAAGGACCCTCCCGAGACCCCATAGCACACATGTTGGCTCAGTGCGACCTCAAGAAAACAGCTAAATCTATTTCATTTCTGGTGCTGGCACCTACCTTAGGTTTCCCTGAAAGTGTCAGTTATTCCTATATGCAGGTTTGTACACGAAAGCCAACATTTTAACAGTCCAGGGGCTGAGCTATATATGCGTGCCTACTTAGGGCATGTATACCAGTAAAACACATGTATACCATGTGCCCTTTAGAAATACTACATACTTAATCACCCATATCGGACATCACAAAAACACACAAACACACACACACACACACACACACACACACACACACACACTCATACACATCCCCGTCAAGTTTTTTAATACAATATATATACACACCATAGACTTAAAACAATACACAATTTATTTCATTCTCAGTTATAAACACATTAGACAGTTATTATACATACTATTCCTATATAGTATACACGTCAAGTCACATAAAAGCTCAGACATGTATTGTATATCATAAAAACACATCATGTGGCACTTACACATTCTTTGCCCTTCCACACAATATATCACAACACAGAACAACCTAACATACATAGCACAATCATTACCACATTTTCTGCTGACACGCCTGTTTTAGCCACTTGCGCCACAGCCTTTCCACAACCCGTATCACATTATGTATATCATGCATACACACTGTTCTCACACATCCATGCAAAGCACACTTAACACACACATGTATTCTTGGGCTTTTCTGTGTTAATGTTGCAAACTTTAAGACTTTTTTCCTGCATCTATTTTCAAAGGTCTAAGAACCATACCATCAGGTATTAGCTGCAGCATCGCTCCTGATGCCAGTTTTCTGTATTAGTTACCTTTCTTGTTAAGGTTGTGACAAAATGCCAGAAAAAAATCAACTTAAACTGATTTTAGTTCATAGTAAGCATGCAGTCCTTCATGTAAGGGAAGGATGCATGGTGGCAGGAATATGAGGCATGGGGTAATATTGCATCCACAATCATAAATGACAGAGAGGAGAATGCCAGAGCTTCCTTCCTTTCATCTTGTTATTAATCAGCTTCAGATCTCAGGCCAATAAATATTGCTGTCTATATCTAGAGTGGTTTTTCCCACTTCAGTTTACTCAGTTGAGAAACTCCCTTATGGTCATGCTAACAGGTTTGTCTACTATTAATTCTAGATTCTATGATCAATATTATCACTACAGATGTTACATGTACCAAATGCATCATGGAAGCACCACACACAGAATGGATATCCCATACAAGCCACACTCAGAAACAATATCACACCCTATACATACTCATACAAATGTACTCACTCTATTGAGTAACACCATTTGCCCATGCCTGTGACCCCTCAGCTCTTACCTTTTGTACAGACATAGGATGGCGTCACGGAAAACACCTGAATACAGGACTTGGAAGCAATCTGAGAGAGGGAGATGGAAATGGAAATGGGCAGGACAGTAAGCCTCAGGGAATGCATACAAGGCCCTCCAGTCTTCTACAACCCACTTACTTTGTCAACGATGTCCTGCAGGGCAGTGAAGCCTTGTTTTGCCTCAAAGGTATGATCTGGGCTGTCTGCAACTTGGGCCATCTATGATAGGAGAAGAGTATCTGGGTTGAACTTCAGAGTCAGTGGATGTAACAGACTTGGGGCAGGAACTGTTAATCTCAGGCCATGGTGAACCTAGGGTGTCAAATACTCACTGGCTTCCATTCATAGCCAAAACTTAGGCAGTGGGAAGCTCTGCTGTCCACTCTACAGAGGGGGTTGGTTTACTTACCCTAGTGAACTGCCCTTTTACACTGGCTAATTCTAGCCTACAGCACCTTGGGTAGATGAGATTCCCCCCTTCTTGGCACTGAAAGATGCATCACAGTCTTGCTGTAATAGCTACTCAGGGGTACTTGGTCACCTGATCTGACTTACCTGCCACTTATCATAGTGGTAGACACCCACTGTTAGAACAGTTGCACCCAACTGTCTGGAAATCTTGGCCTAAAAGAAAGGAGATGCTGAAAAAAGAAAGCACTTAAATACCAGAGGCAAAATGCCAGCAGTTTTGGTGATGACTCACCTCTTCCATGGTCTGTTTAAAATGTTTCTCCATCAGAAGACCATCAGTCATGGCGATGATCACGGACTGGAGTTTGCTCCCTAAGGAGGGAACAATAAATTGATGGGTTGGTAGGGGACACACTAGGAATGCCCAGTGAGTGAGGCTGTAGATGCAGCGATGTTCACTGCAGCAAAGCTTGTTGTCCCTCACTGTTTTGTTTCATAGTGTGAGAAGAAGTCTTGTGCACTATTTTATACAGAGGGGATGGGATCCTACCATTAGGCCTGACCTTTTATATCCTGGCTGTGGAATAGCCTAAGTGCAGTCTAGTCACTGTGCTATAAGCCTAGCCTCTCCCTGGGTGCTGGAGAAGCAGGAGGGCTTCCTTGATGATGATGCCCAGTGAGGCATGTGGAATCTGTGGCCAGCCAGCTTCAGGCACAATGTTAGGGATATTTTACTGAACAGTAGGCTTAGCAATTAATGCCTGCAATATACTAAAAAAAAATTACCTTTCAGACCTGTATAACTAGCTTAGTATGTTTTCCTGCTGAATGCAAGGCTGTATCTGATAACCAAAACCAATGATATCACTCTCTCAAGATAGATAGACACAGTCCTAGAGGTTATGATGCCCACAAGACACTATATGAGCATATACATATATAAGAGACCAACAGCTGATGGTCTGTTCTGCATATCAGGAGAGACCCCACTTTGATGTTCCATGGAGATGGAGAATGTCCCTAGGATCCTCCTCACACTTGAATCATAGACTTATTTATCCACTGGACCTGACCGTCAACTAAGAAATTTTGCATAGGTGAGCAGTCTTGGGAAGATAGGCATTAGATTGTAGTTAGGAATATATAGTATGTGCCTTGAGTGATAGCCCTCAACATAATTAAATACAACTTCTGTTATACTAACTACCCCCTTGCTTGCCACAAAACACCAAGTCAGACAGTTTTATGTTGGGAATCAATGACCCCTCACCAAGTGTCCCCACTGTATTCCTTAAGGGCCACAGTTCAGAAAGACCTAGGTCTTGGATGGGCATGTTTGACTCATGGGGTTAAGAAGCTAGACTGACAAGCTAAGAGGTAGAAGACTTAGCAGCTAGAGGAAACCATGACCCTGGCATCCAGCACAGAGTTCCCAGCCTGCACAGGCCCTGGGCTTTCTTCTTTTTCTTTCCCAGCACATCTGTAGGCTAAGGACCAGTGAGAACAAATCCAACACATGACCACATGCAGCTTCTGGTCCTCTTGGAAGCATCTTGAGTCGGTGCTATGCTCAGAGGGGCAGCTATGCAGACAGTGGAGCTCTGGTTTCAAATGCCAGACTTGAAGAGATCCAGGATGTGCACACAGACTCTGTAGGAAGCCCAGCTGTGTGGCCTCTGCCCCATTGAAGTTGCAGGCAGCTCACCTTCTTGCATAGCCTTTCTGATTTGTTCATTTGCCTGTCAGGAAATGAAGGGGAAAAATTGTGACATGAAGAAGTGACCCAGTGGTACTGTACACAGAGTTGCCTATAGCGGCCTGTACCTTCTTAAATCCATCCTGCATGTGTGTAAATCCTTCAGGCACCTCTTCGTGGAGTATTGCAAGTCCTTTACGGATTGCTTCTCTAAAAGGATGAAAAAGAAAAGTGGCATGAAAGCTATGGGCAGGGCAAAGCATCTGTAAACCATCCTATGGCTTTGTCCACTCTGCAGTTCACCTGATGAGATAGGACACTGGCCAGTGACACTGACTCTCCCTTCTGAGCTGGGCCTTTCTTTGATTTCATGAACACTGAGACAGGAGGGGACTGGGAAGTCAGTGGGCCCATATGGAAACGTCTGTTTTCTTTGAGTTCATCTACATTTTTGGGCACCCCGGTCTTGGAGACTGGGACAGAGATCTTGCCCATTCAGTCCCTGGAGAACATGCAGGGATTTGAGCTAGGGTTTTACAGGGTAGTGGCATCTGTATTGTGGATCGGGGACCTGATGTCACTGTCACCCTCCTTTGGAGCAGTCTATTAGTCAGTGAGTAGGGCTGAAGGGGGCCATGTCACCAGCTAAGCCACTGCTCAACTCCCATGTCCACTGTCACAGAGCCCTGGCATGACTCTCTCTTCTAGGCTGCTGAAGGCAGCAACTGGTCTACTTAGATTCAAGCCTCACTGTGGACTGTTCAAGCTACCCACAGAGAAACCTGAACCAGGGAGTCGGGCCCAGAGAGCCATCCCTGAGGTATCTGTGTTGGTCCCTAGGCTGGAAACAACATGACCTGTCAGGTGGTGTGAAACACATAAAGCACACAGAGGCAGGCAGGCCTGTTTCTGAAGGACATTCTAGGACAAGAAAGGGACATGAGGTCCAGGATAATCTAATGTGGCAAGGCTAAGCAGTCACAGCAAGGTGATCTACAGTGGACAATGATGTGGCTTCCTATTGCGCAACAGTGAGGCTTTACAGGGTCTGAGCTCTGATAGCGCCATGCTTGGCCCAGATACGACGGCTAGAAGATGAGAGAATCATGCTCATCATGCCCAGTGGTGACCAAACCAGGGATTTCCATCCCCAGTCCTGCCCTCATCTCTTTTCCTGAAGAGCCCAATCCAGTTCTCTCCCCTTTGACCAGCCTAGCCCCACTCTTTGCCAACACCAAGCCTCCTCTCACCCCATCACATACCCCTCTACCTGGACTTAGAATCTATGCTTCTGCCTGACCCAGTCCACTATCCTCTTCCTATCTCTGTCCTCCATGTAGCTCAGACTCGACTCCTCCACTCAGCCTATGACAATCCCTGCCCTGCCCAGGCTCTCCTTTTGCCTTCCCTATGACCACAGTGTCTGTGTTCTCCTTGCCATAATCGCCCTCTGGGATTTGCTCAGCCACTCAAATTTAATTGTGTTCCTGCAAAACCTAGCCGCTATGGTATGCTACACCAGGCCTTGTCTGAATCCCTGGGAGCCAGCCACTTCCTGCCCCATCGCCCTGATGGACCTTAGATGCCAGGTCCATTGACTCAGAGGCTCTTATCCCATCTGCTAGGTGGGTCTCCCTCACTTCCTGCTCCTGGCTTTTCTCCAGGACCCAGGACAGAGATTGTAACTCCTCCAGACACCCCAATCCTTAGTGCCTCCACACCTCCTTCTGGTTTCTAACTCTGTATGGAGTCTATAGGAGAGCATGTAAAGTTGACCCCCCCTTGTCAGTCAGAAGCCCCCAACTCCTTATCTCTGGGATGCTGGGCACAGTTGAGCCACCTCACGTCTGTTCCCCATAGCTTCCTGTGGCATTTAGCACAGTTGACTCATGACCCCATCTTGAGGCTTCCTTATTTATGATCACAGGGGACCTAACTCCCTTCTCCATACTCCAGTGCTTTCCTCAGAATTTCTCAGCTGTCTCCCTGCTTCACTTATCCAGAGAGTTACTTGTCAGGCCAGGCCACAGTCAGGCCAGAGTGCACATAATATCTCACCAGTTGTTATTGTGGGTATGATGGGTCCTGACATATACACCTCACCAGCTCCCATATGTTATTATGGGCAAGGCCTAGGTAAGATTCAGCAGAGGAGAACTTCTATAAGTATCAAGTCTGTGTGTTCTACTTAAGTACAGACCCAAGAGTGCTAGTAACTAGGGCTGGGGCTCAGTTTGGGTACATAGGTCCCCTTTGGATGAGCAATACTAGGAGACCACAGAGGTCCTTCTAAGCTCTTAGTTTCCTCAAGATCCAAGTGTCTGCAACATGGGGCTAGTCTTGGGATTCAAAGCAACACCTACCGGTCTGAGGTGAGTGGAATGATGACATCAGCGAATGTGGAGTAGGTGATGATGGATATCCGCAGTTTAGGGCTGGGGACAAAGCATAACTACTGAGAAGCCCATACACTAGATCATCAACCTGTCAGGGAGCAGACATGCACAGAATCCCTGCTCCCACCCCATCTCTTTTGCACTGCTGTCATTCAGAGTTGAGGCATTAAGGTAATATTGGGGCAAAGCATTCTAAAGCTCATGGAGATATGTAGCTCCAGGGAAAAGAAACAACGTGTCTGGTAAGTGGTGTGGCCACAGTGATGTCACCTGTTGACCCTGTTCATTCTCCAGCCTCCAGGACTCAGTTCACCTCTGCAGTTTCTCTGGGACCATGAAACTTTTCTCTGAGACATTTCTCGGAGGATTCTTGCCTTTCCTTGTCTCTCCATGACAAGCTTTCCTGTCTACCTCTCTGGCCCTGAACTTCTTTTCCTAAGTATAAGTGCCCACCTATCATGGTGTGCTTTCCACTTTGAGGGGTCCCAGAGAGTGGAACTATGCCTAACCCCTGAGGAGGCTCAGCCAGTGCTGGAGTACCCCCATTGGACTCTGTCCCCTGTTAGCACACCAGCCTGGGTCTATGCTCCTCTAAGAGGGAATCTCATGCTCATCAAATCTAACAAACATGCTGTTTATGTGTTAGAGGGTTACTCCCTTGAAGCACAGAGAGGATAGGCAGGAGAAACCATACTTCTGGAATTTCTTCACCAAATCTTCCGTAAATGAATAAACATAGATCCAGTTTCTGCCCACACTGCCGGACCTGAAGACAAAGGAGACATATGTCAAGGTATGCCATATCATAGGGCAGGGAAGGTTAGTTTTGGCCTTTCCAGTGTTCCATCACGTCTTTGTTTGTTTTTAATCAATGTGCCCGTGTGTCAGTGCTGCTGACCATGGAGGATCGTCATGAGAGGTGATTTTCTTCAGGACCATTAGGAACAGAAGATATCCAAGCAGCCTCATCTACTCAGATGGTGGGAGCCCCCAAATGGACTTCAGGGTCTCATCACAATGCCGACTTATGCTAGGTGAGGGCTACGTAGTCTCACAATGAAGGAAGATGTCTTGATTGGAAGAGCTACCTAATGTTCTGATATGTGAGGCTTCCCACCCTGCCTCGACTGACTTCTGACTTGCCAATTCTCAGTCCTGTCCATGGGGGGCCCAGGGCTACTGGCACTATTCTGATCAGATACTTTGGAACACCAGGAAAGGCCTAGAGGGGGGAACTGGGCTTTTTACCTGTGGGTTCCCTTATGGAACTCTCAGGTTGTTAGGGGTCAAAGATACTGCTCAGGTGAGATCACTCTTTAGTGTATGAAACATCTGAGGCATAGCTTGGGTTTTGGGAACGGTAGGTCTTCCAGCTCTTTGTTGCCCACCATGTCATACCAGCTGTTGCTGTCTTGTTTTCTCCACCAGGATAGACTGGACCATTCAGCCATTCATGATCTAAGTTAAAGCCCTCCATTGTTTTTATTGGTCTGTTTTACAATGTTCACACTCAAGTCTCAAGCTCTGTGTGTGCAATGGTCAGCAATTGCTGAAAACCCATACATGACACAAACTTTCTCCCATGGACAATTGTCAGACTGTTGTATTCTGCCCATCCCTTCTTCTCCTCATTAGAGAAATACAAATAAAATCTGTCCAGTGTTCTATCACACCAATAAGGGAAATAATGAATAGCCCCAGAGTCCACACACTCCTCTATATGTACCAGCATCCACAGCAGAATGGGGGGAAATTCCCCCAGGAGCTGGGCTTTGGCCATGGAGGCAGTTATGTGTCCCAACTTCCTGAACACCCTGCAAACCACACTGTCCTGAGCCAGGAGCTGGCTGACAAAGAAGGCAGCTGTAGACCTGCTCATTTCTTCCCTGGGGTTGTCAGTTCCAATTACTACAAGAGCCTTGTGCTGTTCCCATGAAGACTCAGACCCCTGGGCCCATTTTCTCCTGCTTTGCCCCTGCCTGGAGAGCAAATAGATGGAGATGCATATAAGTGCATGGAGAAATGAAGCAGGGTGTGGACCAGCTTCTGAACACAAGAGATAAGGAGTCAATAAAGGGTATGAGAATGGAAATCAATGTAGAGATAGAGATACTGAAGGGATACCCAAAAGAAATGCTGGAAATGAGGGAAACTAACAAGCTAAATAAAGTGCTCAGGGGAAAGCCGCACAAACAGAATGGGTTATGAGAGCACAGAGCACGAGGTGTGGAGAAAAAGGTAGAGACATTGGAATGTTCAGTCAAGGATAATGATAACATTTAAAAAAGTGTCAAAAGCTTGTACAACCATTGGGCCCCATATAAAGGAAAAATTATGAACTAGGGGCATAGAAAACGAATAACAGCATACAAAAGAGTTAGAAAATATTTCCAAGCAGCTGTGCATATGGCTGAGTGGGTACATGGGGTGCTGTGTAAGTGTGAAGCCCTGAGTGAGAATTACCAGGCCTTCCATAAGGCTGCAGTAACACAGGATCTGCAATCTCAGTGCTCCTGTCAGGGTATGGAAGACAGAAACTCTATCCACAGGCAACCCTTTATCCTCTCATTTCCCTTCCCCCAGGACAAAATAAATAAACACACACACACACCAAAGGAAAAAATCCCTTCTCCCTCACCCTGCAGTCCTCTATCTCCTGTCTTTGTCTCTTATTCTCTGCTGTCTGTCCCTCTGGGCTAAACCAGTCTCCTTTGTGCTAAGAACTTGGTCTTGGGGTATCCTATGTTGATACCGGTCTCTTTATTTTATATGGAAAAAAATAGAAAAAAAGTAAAGAAAAAGCCTTAAAGAAATGCTATACCTGGTTGATTATAAAGGCTTAACTCAGGAGACTGAAGTATAAATATGATCTCCTGTTTTATAGAACTTAAGGGCATACTGCAAATTTCTGTAAACTAAGAAATTGGATAATTAGATAGGACACCACCAGAGAAGCCATGAGCCTCTCTGGTTCTCAAATCCAGATTCCATTCACTCCCTTGACAGCCAGGAGAGGTCTAAAGACTGTTCCAACTTCTCTGCCACACTGAGAAACTCAGTCTCTTCCCAGGATAGGGACTGTCCATGGCTGAATCCTGAGGGCAGTAAAATAAAGACATCTCTGACCAGCTGAGAGAGTGCCCACAGTGGCAGCAGCAATCTCAAAGGTCCCTCCTTGGGTAATTCACATGGCTAAAAAGGTACCTCCCAGTAGTCTTTGGGCCTGAGGGGCATGGTGACCACATCAGAGTCAAGAGGGTGAAGAACCACATCCAGAAGGCCTGTGATGGCCTCCCTGAATTCAGGAAGTCAGTGACAGAAGCCTACATCCTGGGGGAGTGGCTACAATGATCTTGAATATCCTGTGGAGTCAGATCTACCACTGATACCCAAGCGATCTTTAGGGACAGTGCAGGAGGGCAACTCACTTGTCCAGGATGATGTAGAGGTCGAAAACACCTTGACAGTTGTCTTCTAGTTGGCGTTGGTTCCAGTTCATTTGTTGGATCTGCTGTTCGTCGGAAATTGAGGAACCCTTGCCCAGCCTCTGGAATAGTTTCCAGCCAGGGCCATGGTACTGGAGGCTTCTAGCCTTTGAAAGGGGACTATTCAACAGGAGCAGGAACAGTAAGAGGGCCAAATAAGGCACACGGGGAATGTGAATCCCCATGTTGTCTGACCCTTGCAATGTGGTGTAAGGTCACAGGTAGGCTGAATCTAATGACAGTACCTGTGGACCTTTTCTACACCACCTCTACACAGTCCCAGGAACTGAGGACTACCACTTGTATCCTACCACCAATGGTAGCATTCTACCTGGAATACTCAGAGCCCAGAAGATCGGACCAGCTGCTCTGGGTAAAGGTTTTCCCCCAAATACCTCACAGAGTCCTCTGCTACCTTGGGATATACACCCTGGGATTGTGATGGTCAGGGAGGTTGTCATGGTGACTTTGTGACCTAATCCTCTGCTCATGTCTATGCTGACAGTGCCTAGGGGGCTGTTATAGGCCCTGTGCAGGAGTCTCAGATGAGGCCTCCATGTCTCCAATCCCAGCCCCTATCAGGAAATCCTTAGGGGACACCTCAAAGAACAAGTGTTTTGTTAGAGGAAATGGTGGTTGAGCTCACCAGTTACTGTGGGTCAAGGGATCAAAACAGCAAGGGACAAGTGTGTGGAAAGTGGGAGGCCACTTGTGAGTCCTGAAGTTAGCACACAATGTCTGGATACAAAAACAGATGGAGATTGTGTGCTGCTGTCAGGGTCCTCCGTGAGTGAGGAGAGGTCAAGATCAGGCCGGAGACACCCACAGAAACTGTTGACCTGAACAACGGGAATTCATGGACTCCAGTCTGGCAGCTGGGAAATGAGCATGGGATGGACCCAGACCCCCTGAATGTGGTGTTATTTTGGAGGACTGGGCAATCTATGGGGCCTCTGGTAGTGGATTAGTGGATTAGTATTAGAATATGAAAGGACTTCAGGAGGCCATTCCACATAGAAGGATACTCCCTCAACCTAGACACATGGGGGAGGGCCTAAGCCCTGCTCCAAATGTTATGACAGACCTGGAAGACTCCTCATGGAAGGCCTCACCCTTCCTGGGGCCCAGAAAGGAAATGGGATGGGTGTTGGGCAGGGTCAGGGGAGGAGGAGAGGGTGAGAGAACTGGGATTGACATGTGAAACAAACTTGGTGCAGATTTTAAATACAGGTAGTTAGTATAACAAGAGTTATATTTTATTATGTTAAGGGTCATCACGCAAGGCTCAAAGTATGAATTCCTAGCTACAGACCTAAGTTTATCTCTCTAAGACTGCTTACTTGAGCAGTGTATCTCAGATGAAGGTCAGGTCCAGTTGCCAACAGAAGTCTGATTCAAGGTCAAGGAATCTGTGGGAGACTCTTCAGCCACTGCCCATGTCTCCTGATATGCAGAGCAGAACATTGCTCTTAATCTCTTATATATAAGTATATGCTTATATAGTGTCTAGTGGGTTTCATGGAGTCTAGGACTGTGGTTACCTTGAGTGAGTGATATCATTGGGTTCTGGTTATCAGGTGCAGACTTGAGTGTAGTGGGAATCCTGACTAATCACAAAGTCAAACAGTCCAGAGAAGAGCAGTGTCTTGCCCAAATGGCTAGTCTTGTCATATTGAAAGCAAAGAAACAAGTTTCTTTGATGTCCATCTTTCTTTCTGACATAAGTGGTGTTTCCAGGAGCAGTTATGTCTCACGGTCAAGGAAAAAACCTAAGCGTTTTAAATGCCATATTCTATAGGCCTTTTGTCCTGCGCTACTGTCTCGCCAGCAAGAATGACTCGGCACACTCAGGATCCTTCTGCAGTAAAGCTTTAATGCATCTTGAGAGGGAGAGCATAAGCTTACAGAGCGGAGACGCCAAACATCCAAAACCCAACCCTTATATAGGTTTACAACCTTCACCTAGGACGTGTTACCTCCTGATTGGCTGCAGCCCATCGGCCCATATGACGCCATGGGAGAGGCAGAGACCAATGGAGGGAAAATCACCCTGCACCTGCGCACTGACTTGTTTATTCTCAACGCCAGCCAGATGCAGGTGCCATTTGTAATGGAGAATGCAGGGACGGCTCCCTACAGTCTTTGAAAGGTTTGAAAAATGCCTATCCATCTCTCAAATCTGGCAGGAAGCATTGTATCTCTTTAGGCAGAAGCCTTGTCCTTTATATTTTTTTGTTTTTTGATACAGGGTCTCTCTACATAGTCCTAGCTGTCCTGGAGCTCAGTAGACCAGGTCCACTTGGAAGTCAAAGAGACCCACCTGTTTCTGCTTCATGAGAGCTTGGATTAAAGGTGTGCCCCAGCACAACTGTTTAGTCCTTAATTCTTGAAACAATCATTTGATAATTTGGCTTCAAGTTTCTCTCATTTTAATTGTCCTCATAATTTTTCTGACCTGTGGAAAACTGATCTCTTGCTTTTAGCTAAATTTGGCATTGCTGAGCTGTGCATTGACTAAGTTGGTAAGCATAAGCTTAGGTGAGTAGTTCATGGGCAAACATCGCTGGTGTTTGTTTCCTGCTAGTTGCCTTCTGTAGCCCAGGAAAGGCACAGAAAGGCAAACAATTACTACCATCCAACTGAATCTGGAGTTTTAACCTGAACATGGACACAGGGAAAGGATTCAGACATGTGTGATGCCTCAGATCGCTAAGCCCAACTCTGGAGGAGCTGCAGGAGGGTTATGATGAGATTGAGGTAGCTTGGGCTATAAACTGAGTTCTAGGTCTACCTAGTTTACAGAATGACACAGTTTTAAAATATTATGAGAAAGGGGTGGTGGTGGGGGGAATCACAGACATGTAGCATGTTGTAAGAGTGGGCCATGACCTGGCTCAGGTGTGGCACTGAAGGGAAGATGCAGGTGTGGATGAGAATTAAAATAAACAAACAAATTATGGGATGGGAATATGTATCTAAAGACTGTACAAACTGGAATGTTCTGTGGAACTGATAAGAGCATATCTGAGTTGTGTGTTTAGCAGATGGCCAGGTTCAAGACCTGGCTGAGGATTGGGTAGGAAGATAACATAGGAATAGTTGAAGACCAACACACCATATGGGTCATCACTGGTGTTGAGGTACCATGAATACCTTCTGGCTTCGGGATGCAGGGTGTGTGACTCAAGTGCCCAAGTTCCAGAATGGAAAGAGATGGAAGATGTTGGGAGGGGCAGGCCTCTCTGAATGACACTTATTTGTGTAGAGGCCAGAGCTCCAACTTGTCAGCACATAGAGCAGGGAGAGCTGACCAGTGACTGGCTCAGGGCTGGTGGACCCCAGCTGTGGGTCTACTGTTCAGAGCTGGAAGTGAATGTTTGGCTGGGAGATTTGTAACTTGGGGAAGCACTGTGGACTTCGTGTGATGCAGCACACCATTACAGGCATCTCAAGACTCTCAGTGGTTTAAAAAGACATCTCCAGGAAGGAAAATATAATTCCACTCATTAGAAATGTAGAACAAACTCAGCTAAACAGTGAGCCAAATGCTTGCATTTATGTGGTCCTTGGAATTGGGAGAATGGCTTAGGGGACAAATGTCAGATTTTGGTGCCATCTTCTGGAAGAGTTTAGCATTAACAACGGTTCCCTCACCCTCATCCCCCAGGTCTCATAACCTAATGAAGGAGGTGTGAGGTTTCCAAGGCAGGATACCCCTAGGCAGGGATGTGGGATGGACGGGACTTTCACAGTCCACTCTATCTCCAGGGCACAGGCTCCCCAGATGTACCCTGTATCCACCTCATAAACTGAGCCCTGTGCTCCCTCTTGACTGGCAAGTTCTACCAGGCCAATGGCTCTGTGGGATGCCTTCCTGAGATGCTCAACTCTACCTAAGACAACAGCAAACAAGGGAAGACAGCTACAAGGTTTTAGTCACAAGAGATGGCATCTCTGAGTTTGAGACTCCTAAGTTAATTCCAGGCACCTTGGTGTCCTTGTCCTCCTCAGACTGTCACAGGGATGGCAATTTCAGGCTCACTAATCCCTCATTTGTCCACAAGACTGTATACCTCCTTTCACAATCATGCAGCCTGGCCTGAGCAGCTGGACCCCAAGCCACTGTGACATCATGTGTTTGTCATGTGACAGAAAGTAGAAGGCACAGCTTGGTCTGAGATGTCTAGTCAGGGTACTTGTCTGAGGTCCTCCTTCAAGTAAGCCCAGGAAACACCACAGCAGCCATGCTGGTGATACCACAGAACCGAGTTTTTTTTCTCTTTCTAACTGAAATTTTTCATGAAGTATGTCTTTATTAGATTTCCCCTCCCCGATTATTTGCAGGTCCTTTCCACTTACCCTCCCAATTTCTCTCTCTCTCTCTTTTTAAAGATACAAAGGAAAAATTCAATAAACACAAACAGAAACACAAATAACATAAACAAGCAAAAGGCCAATAAGATTTAAAAAATAAAAAATTCCAAAAATACTTTGAGTGTGTTTTATGTTCAGCAAGTACTCCTGAACATGGAGAAAAGTGATAGTTTGTCCTTTGTCAGTGGTTATGGATCATGTTAGATGGAGAAGGGAGCCTGGGCTTACTTCCTCCATTTAGTTATGGGACCCTTTCTGGCTTGAATGTGTGCAGGTCTCCTTTGTTCTGCCAGAGTCTCTGTGGGTTCTTAAGTTCGTGCTGTATTGAACATAATTGGACGGCTCTGTCCCCCACTGCCTGCGCTGAGCCCTATTCTTGTGGGCCTAGTTTGTAGGATGGGACAGTAGGCAGGTATGGAAATCTGACAGGACAGGCTAATCTTGGCTGGGCACATGCTGGTGGAAGCTGTTTTGTCCACACAGCTGTGAGTTTCTGTAAGGCAAAGGACACAGTGGACAAGACCAAATGACAGCCCACAGACTGGGAAAAGACTGGGAAAAGATTTTCACCAATCGTATATCGGACAAAGGGCTGATCTCCAAAATATACAAAGAACTCAAAAAACTAGTCAACAAAACACCAAATAACCCTATTAAAAATGGGGTACAGAACTGAAGAAAGAATTCTCAATAGAGGAAATCAAAAAGGCTGAAAGGCACTTAAGAAAGTGCTCAACATCCTTAGCTATCAGGGAAATGCAAATCAAAACAACTTTGAGATACCATCTTACTCCTGTCAGAATGGCTAAAA